GAAACGATCAAGGGTCAAAGTTTAAAATACCACTGCTAAATCGTGACAAAAAAACGACGGGCGACGCACGACGGGCGACGCACGACGGGCGACGCACGACGGCGACGCACGACGGGCGACGCACGACGGCAGATATGGAATTCCATACGATTGGCATCGTCGGAATCTCTTCTATTAGATCATTCATGGCAATGTGGACGGGTGGATTGTAAACTGGAAGGATGATATCTATAAGTATTTCTGAAAGTATACCGGACCAATGGAGTACCGAAGTGTGACGTCATTGTGAGCCAGAAAAGAAAGTGCAGTGCAAACGAATGAAGTACGTGAGCGTGTTGGTTCGCACGCTGGTTCTCGTCTTAATGCCTTTCACCCGCATAATTGTGCGCCCGACGTATTCACTTCTCTACTCTACTGGGTTTTCCAAATGGCTCCATTTTGCAATGGAGTGTAAGCATTAATTTTCAAAATGGCAATGGGCCTCATGAATGTTTTGAGGGGTGGTCATCTCTTGAGAGAATTGATTGTGCCACTAAAAATTGCAAGGGAATTGAAAGATGAAGAAATGAGCTTTAATTTGATATGTATCTTGAACAGGTGAAACTTATATTTTCCTGATTTTTTACGTGGGGTATTTATCACAGTTGTCTATGGCAACTTATTGAATTGTCTGCGAGCGACGGAAGTCCATCATTTCAAAAGGGGGACATCACGCGTGTACGAGGCGAAAATACTAGTCTCCACACAAGAATAGCATTAATCATCTTCCCAGACTTGTTTGACTGAAAAAGCACGTTGCCTGGACGCGTGTGCAAAATGCTGGACAGCCTCCTACCTCCAGAATGAACTGGTATTTAACACAAAGCTTGGACACTCCTCTCCTTCCCAAAATGACATCCTTGGCTCACTATTACGAAAATCTCTGACAGCATAAAATCTGGAATATTGAAAATGTTCCCTTTTCAAGGCCGGTTCATTTCTACACATGTAGGCTTACGTAGCGCGAAAGCGAACAAAACATTTGTGTCCGCAGATTAAAAGGGCGGTGTGAAGTTAGTAGCTTATTTCTCATTTGACGTTCGACATTCAATGTTGAACAAGTAACTCAATCGTTTGATTAAAAGCAAGAAATTGACATTCGGCAAGCGCTTAACGGATGCACGTCCCAACAAACAATGGAGTGCCAAAGGAACAAAAACTAATTGCACCACCTATACATTTCAGGGCTTGTTTGCCCCCGGAAAAAAAAGCCTCGAGTTGCAATTACCTCGGTGATTGACGGAGAGCAATGGGTATGGAGAACGAAAAGTGTCCATCTGCTTTTCTGCTATCAGAATGGTAGAAAAGCAGAGTTTATGTTCTGGTAACATGCAATTTCGACTTTTCTACTTTTCTGCTAACTCAAAAAGCAGAACAATTTACAAAGATTAACGTAGCATGAGGCGATTCGAATTTCATTGAGTATTTCATTGTTTCACTTTGATAAACTTTGTGGCGGGGAAAGTGACAATAATATTATATGCTCATCTATAACACTGCTGGTGGCCAGTCCATCCTTCTGCCGGATAATAAAAACAATGCTGGTCAATATCTTCGGTCTATTTTATAACTTCGCAATGTTGGTCAATATCTCCGGTGTATACAAATTCACCGACTCAGAATTTACACTAATTTGGGTGTTTGGGCACCAATTCAAGCGATTAAAACTGGAAAATTTGGTTTTTATTACTTCGCAAAACTATATAAAACAAACAGTGGCTGATAAAAGACCTGCGGTGCACAAAATCCTGCAACACATACACGTTCAAGGCAAGGTAAACCTTTGGCAGATTTTTTTTCAAACCTAAAGAATAATTTACATGTTCAGAATAATTATTGGGAATGATGAGCAACTTCCTTACCCAAGGCGTGGATCCAGGGGGTGGAGGTCAAGCCCCCCCCCCCAGGGCATTCGTGAGGGGCCTACGTTTACCGTTTGAAAGACCCCTAAAATATTGTTAAAACCATGAAGTATAGGGTCTTATTTTTTGTTGGAGCGAGTCGAAGCCGATTTATGTAGGCCTTAGCCTCGCTAGGTAACGACTCGGTCTTGGCCTTGGTAGGCTCTGGACTCGAAGAATCAGTTGAGGCCAGTTTGAAGCCGCCTGTCTGTAGTCGGTTTGGTCAGCTTTTACTCTAACCCCCCCCCACCACCATTTTATCGTGACAGGTACAAACGGTACTGCCGACGCGCAGGTGCTAGATGTACTCAAGAAGTGCATCTTGATTTTCCGAAGGTTATGCACATGTACGGTGTTCCATATGTGCGACGCTAGTTGAAAAATCCGACCGGAAGGCACATATGGAACACCATACACATGCGATGGCTGATGAACAGTGCTGTTTGCAGGCATGCGAAAGCGTGGCATGTACCACCGTGCGCGGAGTGGGGTGGACTCGGACTGCCTTTTTAGATGCCATGTGCATGGTCATGGTTAACTTAAAGTGCCATTTTTAGGATTTTTTTTCTAAGAGAAATTACATGTATTTTCATTTTGGGCAGCACTCTCGACTTTTATCTTTCGTTTCTTGTTCAAAATGGTTTTGGGGCAGCTTTGCAACTATTTGTGAACTAACTGTGATTTACTTGATTTTGGTCCGAGATTAATAGCCTGCATTTAAGCCTTACCTTCTTAGGATCTTGTTTTTATAATTAAAACTTTTAAGAAATTATTTCGGGGGGAATTGTATGTTCAGAGAATAATTAAAGTTTTCATATTTCTCTCTTTTTGTGATGGTGGGGGAGTCCGTAGTCTTACTTTGTTGAAAGAAAATTGAGCTCTGCCACACCTGGCCTGAAAAGAGGTAACTATGCCCATTCGGATTTGTTTATCAGGTTGTTACAATGTTAAACTGAAAGTAACTAATCAACGAAACATAGCACTTGCTTATTTTCTTTGACAGAATAAGTAGGGATATTGTTGTGTCATGCGCAACAGGTTTTTTTTGCGAATCTAGATGAATCTCGCCAGTGTGCCTGCCAACAGTGCCAAATGTATCTCAGAGAAAATTCATATATCATGTAGATCGTTATAACGTGTATGAGTGTAATAACTGGCCTTGGCATGTCCTAATGTTCGTTTTCATCCATGATTCATTTCCGTACACAAGAGTACGCTATTCCGCAAAGGTTTCTCACAAATATTTTCAATAAAAACATTCAGGGTTCCAAGTTTAAACAGAGTGAAGAGCCTTCCTTCGATATCATCCCAGTAACAGTGCTCTTCTTTGTCAGGAAACTCTCTAAGGGCTAAGGAACAAAACAAACAAAAAAACTCCCAAGTAATATTTGCATCGTGTACCCGTGAACAAATATCTTGGAGATCTGCTTTAGTAATACCATCCTGTTACCAAGGGTCAATCCAAGAAAGCACACTGTCAATTACAACTTTAATTATCAACTGTGACAAGACAAAGTTTTGCAAAATAAAAGTTCTTTATTCGTGTTCACATAATATTAAAGGTTCTTCTTCAAATTGATTTATACAGAGAAATTAATAGTGCTGAGAGCAAATCAAATAGAAATGTTTTCGAGAAGAAATCAAGAGTATAATTTTATAGCTCATTTCAATAACAATCATGATTATTCCTTTTTTAAAAAAATACAATACTCGGGTAAGGGCAAATTATACACATCAATACCAACTGCACATATCAAAAATCCAATACAGGTCCAAGTGTTTACAACATTGCAAGGTACAAAATGAACAAGAGCTGTCAGGTTTTAGAGGTGCAAATTTACCCATCCAGCACATAATTTGAAGCCTCAAAACAGTTAGGCAAGTAAAAAGAATGAACAGCTTGCACTGTAAAAAAAAGCTGGGTAAAGAAGTTGGGAAATACCAATTCATCCAAAATTGGCCTTTGGTTACACAATTGTGAGTAAATTTGGGGGGAGATTATCCCCGTTGGGTAATAAAAGCTGACAGTACAGATAGCTGATAAATCAACCTTCTTAGGGTAAATATTTTTCAGTTTCTTTTTTACAGTGTGGAAGAGTTAACTTCAAAAGGCAGAGATACGTTTTGGCAAAATGTAATCTTTCTTGTCTAAAACTGTTGTGTTAACATAAATTGCAATCTATGCCACTGCA